GGAATGTGGGGCTTTATACTCTTAGAGAAAAACAGAGCGGAGGGCACTTACCTGAACTGAGGACAGAGCGGGAGAGATTGCCGTTCAGGAGAAAGGACGTCTCGTCGAGCTGGATGAAGGTCACCATGCTGTCGACGAGTTTGCATTGACAGAGTAGAAGGAAGAGGAGGAAGAAGAGGAGTCACCAGCCAGCATCTCTCTTTCTCTCTGTCTGACACACGCACACGGTCCCGACGGCATTGAGCCGGGAGGATGAAGAAGTTTTTCGACGCCCGGAGGGAAGGTGCAGCCGCGGTCGGAGGAGCGGCCGGACAGTCCGGCAGTGCCGGCGGGTGGTCTTCGTTCCAGGGTAAAGTGTATGCGGTGGGCCGCTACCAAGTGACGGTGGAGGAGCTGATCGCGGAAGGTAACAGTGGAGATTGTCCGTCGGTGTCTGTGTATCCTCGGAGGTTGGGCGGGGCGGAGACGATCTACCCCCCAGCCCGCGCGCGAGGAGGGGTTTAAACCACGGAGCGCGCGTTCTAGAACGGCGATCAGTTAGACTGTCACCCGCTTTTTTTTGGGGGAGGGGAAGAGAAAAGTCAATGAATGGTCAACCCCACAGCACTAACTCAATGGCACACTTGTCTCATTGATATATCCTGAATAAACATTCAGGAAGAGACGGTTCCAGCTTTGGGCACTATTTCTTTTTTTCTCAACGCAGTGCCCTTTTGCATACAGTGACTTCCCCTTTTTAAAAGAACAAAAGTTTCCCCCCGCCCCCGAAAGGCACCGCTGGCTAATCTGGGTCACTTTGCTAGGAGGGTCAAGGAGAGAGTTTGAGTGAATCGATCTGATGGATGTCTTTTCAAATTAGGAGTGGTAGGTTCGAACTGGAGATAGAGGATGTTTCTTTTCACTTGTCTTGGACGCCGTGGGTTGTTCAGAATCAAGTGTCTTGAATGTGAGAGCAATACAGAAAATCCAAGAATTCAGAGACTTGTTTACCCAGTTCCAGCTTGTGAAGTTTGCTTACTGTGTACTGTAGTTGAAGCTAAATTGGAGAAGTAATTGAGTAAGAAAGGAATGAAAGTGGAGGTGGAGGTTGATGGGGGCGGGGGGGGGGGTTGGAGAGAGAGGGAGGGGAAAGAGGCTGTTAGCATTAATAAGCATAATCTGTTTGAGTAACAATGTCTGTTTTTGTACTGAAAATTGTGCTTTGCTATTTAAAATGTGATTGTTCAACTTAAACATGTTTCCCCTTTCCGAAGTGAATTGCCACTTTTAAGAGTATGTGAAGTAAATGGGCAACACCTCGGTTTTTAAAAGGACAGATATTTGTGATCATTGCCGCTGCCTACGTCTCCAAGGTTAAGTTTGGTAACAGTCAAACCAGCTCTGTTCTGTTGAAATCCTAAGCTAAGGAAGTTTCAATGAACATGATACATATAGAATGCTTGAAGTAAAGTGAGTGCTGGAGGTGCGAAATTGAGATTGAAGCTGGAAAGTTGCTCGAATTAGTATTTGGCTAAAGTTGGATTTTCAACTTTAACCCTCCATTACTAATGGTTTCCAGGTGGTTTAGCAGTATTTCTTTTCATTGATCATTGCGATTATCCTTTTGGCAACATAAAAATGGATGATGAACAAAGAGCAAGAGTAGTCAATTCAGCTCTTCAAGTCTGCTCTGCCGTGCAGTATGTTCATCGCTGATCTCTCAATCTCAACTCCACTTTCCTGCCCACTTGCTCCCCATAATCCTTCTACCCATTACTAATTAAATTTGCTCAATGTCCTGGCATCCTCCGCACTCTGGGTTAGTGAATTCCACAGAGTCATGACCCTTTGAGGCAAGTAATTTCTCCTTATCTCTGATTTGAATCTGCTAACCCTTATCCTAAAACAATGACCTCACATTTGAGATTGCTCCACAAGGGAGTGTCCTTTCTACATCTATTTAGTCAATCACCTTTAGCATCTTGTAAACCTCAATTAGACCTCTCATTCTTTACTCCAGAGAGTAAGACAACACCTTATCTCTGCAATCAGTCTAGAGAATCTCCTTGAACTGCCTCCAGTACAACTACATCCCTCCTCAAGGAAACCAAAACTGTGCATAATGGTGCAGGTGTAGAATCTCTGCAGTGCAGAAAGAAGCCATTCAGCCCATTGAGGCTGCACTGATCCCCTGAAGAGCATTCCACATAGACCCATCCACCCCCACCTATTCTCATAACCCCATTTTTACATGGCCAATCCACCTAGCCTTGCATGCCTGGACACTACAGGGAAATTTTAACATGGTCAATCCACTTAACTGCACATCCTTGGACTGTTGGAAGAAGCTGGAGCACTCGGCGGAATCGCACACAGACATGGGGAGAACATGTAAACTCCACGCAGACAGTAACCCAAGGCTGGATTCAAACCCGAGTCCTTGGCGCTGAGGCATCTTGTGCTGATCAGTGTGCCACCATCCCATGGTGTGGTGTCTCAGTAATATCTTGTACAGCTGCAGCAACACTTTTCTAGTTCTTTTCTCACTTCCTTTAGCAATAAATGCCAAAATTACATTTGTTTTCCATATTATGTGTTGCTCCTGCATACCAGCTTTCTGTTATTCATCCATGAGAACGCACAGAACCCTCAGCACTCTGCAGTTCTTCTTCATTTAGATAAGTTGCTTTTCTGATCTTCCAACCAAATGGATAACTTCACACTTATCCATGTTAAACTCCATCTGCCAAGCCTTGGCCCATTCACCTAACCTATCCATATCCATTTGTAAATTTTTTTTATTTCTTCAACGCAACTTGCTTTCCTAATTGTTTTACTGTCCTCTGCAAATTTGGGCTATAGTACCCTCTATCCCTGCATCAAAGTCATTAAAAGATTGTAAATAGTTGGGGCACAAGGACCAAACCCTGTGACACCTCATTAGTTAGATCTTGCCAACAACAAAAAGACTCATTTATCCTGACCCTGCTTTCTGTAGGTTAGCCAATCCTCTATCCTCTAAATTACATCCAACTTACTAACCTTTTGTGCAGTACCTTATCAAATGCTTTCTGGAAGTCCAGACATACGCATCTATAGGATTCCCATTATCCACTTTGCTTATTACATAGAGTAATAGAGTCATACAGCACAGAAAAAAAACTCTTTGGTCCAACCAGTGCATGCTGAATGTAATCCCAAACTGAACTAGTACCACCTGCCTGCTTCTGGCCCATATCCTTTCAAACCTTTCCTATTCATGTACTTATCCAAATGTCTTTTGAACATTATAATTGTGCCCACATTCACCACTTACTCATGAAGTTCACTCCATGCGGGAATCACACTCTGTTTAAAAAAAAAAAATGCTCTTTGTCTTTTTTAAATCTCTCTCCTGTCACCTTAAAACTGTGCCCTAGTCTTGAAACCCCCTGTCCTAGAGAAAAGACAACTACCATTAACCCTATGTATACTCCTCATAATTTCATAAACTTCTATAAGGTTACCTGTCAGGTCTCCTATGGTCCAGTGGTAAAAGTCCCAGCGTTTCTATAACTCAAATTTTCTATTTCTGGCAGCATCCTGCTAAATCTCTTCTGACCCTTCTCCAGCTTAATAACATCCTTCCTAAAACTGGGCGACTAGAACTTAAGTACTTAAGAAGAGGTCCCACCAATGTCTTGTACAACTTCAGCATGATTTCCAACTCCTATATTCCAAAAGGTTTGAGATCTAAAGCCTCTAAATGCTTTTTTTAAATCTCCCTGTCTATGTGTGAATTATGTACCTGATCCACTAGGTCTCTCTGGTGTCCAACACTACCCAAGACCTTACTTTAATTGTATAAGTCTTGCCTTTTTTTGTTTAAATACAATACCTTGCATTTATCCAGATTGAGCTCCATCTGCCATTTTTCAGCCCATTGACCCATCTTCGAAGAACTCTATCAAATTAGTCTAACATGATTTACCTTCATAAAACCATGCTGACACTGATGGGTTATGTTTTGACTTTCCAAATATTCTGTTATTACTACCTTAATGGTTTCTACAAATTTCTCAACAGCATTTATTAAACTAACTGGTTCATAGTTTCTGCCTCTTCACAAATGAGGTAATTATAACTAACACCTTTCCAATTCACTGAAATCTTTCCTGCATCCAGGCAATTTTGGAATATTATAACCAATGGATCCACATTCTCTGCTGCCACTCCTGTAAGACCGTAGGATGTAAGCCATTAGGCTCTGGGGTCTTAGCTGTGTTCAATCCTGATAGTTTGCTCAGTACTTTTTACCTAGTGATGTTTATTCTAAATTGCTTCCTTTCTGTGATTTCTGCATCACCTGTTACTATTGGGATATTAATAACAAAGTGGATGTTGCCAACAAGCGCATGTTTGCAGTAGTTAAGTAAGAGGCAAACATTGACCAAGCTTTTCTTTTGATAAAAACACAATTTTATTGCAAATTAGCTGATTTACATAATTTTAAAAAAATTATATGTGTAGAATAGACTGTCAGAATGTGATATTTTTGAGCAACTTTTTTAATACCATATATGTGACCATATTTGTTATTTGTGACTTTGTAAAGTTCTTTTTGTAAGTTAGCATTGTTTTTTGCAAATTCTGGTAAATAAGTTCTATGTTTTAAACAAAACCCCTCCATCTTTCCTCATCCAGTCACATTTAAGGTTCTTGCAAAGATTTGTAGCTTGGGTTGTGGATGAGGTTATTGCCTTGCTCGTTGAGTTGGTTGGTTATCATACAGACGTTAGGCATATTTAGTCATGTTAACTGTGAATTGTTCAAACATGTATAATTCCCAGTTTTACCAACTCGGATCTTGTTTATTGATCTTAATACACTATGCTTGCATATATGTAGGCAACGTAATTATTAAAAAGATATGCAATTTCACAGATGCAAAATAACATAGATTTGGCAAATAGAGTTAAGGAGAATCCAAAGAGATCCTACATATACATTAAAGACAAAAGAAAAACTAGGGAGAGAATAGGGCCCCTTAAAGATCAGTAAGGATGGGGGAGATAAAAGACAAATATTTTGCATCAGTATTTACTCTGGAGAAGGATATGAAAGATGGAGAACTTGGGGAAATAAATAGCGACATCTTGAAAATGTCCATATTACAGAGGTGGTGCTGGATGTCTTAAAATGCGTAAAGGTGGATAAATCCCTGGGACCTGATCAGGTGCACCCTAGAACGCTGGGAAGCTAGGGCAGTGATTGCCGGGCCCCTTTCTGAGATATTTGTATCATCGATAACCATGTGTGAGGTGCCAGAGGACTGGAGGTTGGCTAATGTGCCACAATTTAAGAAAGGTGGTAAGGAAAAGCCAGGGATCTATAGACCAGTGAGCCTGACATCATTGGTGGGCAAGTTGTTGAAGGGGATCCTGAGGG